TGCTGGCAGGAGTCATAGCAATGAAACATGCTTTCAATATCAAAGGGAAGCTCATGTTAATGTTACTGAAATAATTTACTTTTACAGCTACAATTTTCCTAACGGGAGAGCGAGCAGCCCTTTTGAAGTGATGCATTCTGTGTGCCAGCTATTTGTTTGTGTAATCTCACACCCCGGGGGCAAGGAAGCCTTACAGGACTTCTCTGGTACGGGAGTGTCTCTAATAAATACTAATAAATAATTCTCATAAATGTCACCGTGAAGGAGCACAACCAATGTAAATGGAAGAGCGCACACTGCTTCATCAGCAACAATCCACACCAGTGTGAGCATTTAAGAGAGCTCTTTCATAACTCTTAGGTCTTTTAAAAAAAAATTCTTCCTGGCTTGGGATGCCATTTGCAGAGTCACCACAAAGAATTGGATTCCCCACTGCTGGGCCTCTTGTGAGTGGAGCCAGCCTGGGTGGCCTTGGGACAGCTGCACGATCCCAGGGCATCCACAGAAGGGAAGGGTGAAAACCTCTCTCTCTCTCTCTGGAAAACCCTGAAAAGGGTCGCCATAAGTCAGAATTGACTTGACAACACATCACCATCACCATCACCACCACCACCACCACCATCATCGTTATATTCTTCTTCTTCAAGGTTGACTCAGCCTTCCATCCTTCCGAGGTCGGTAAAATGAGTACCCAGCTTGCTGGGGGGGCAATGTGTAGCCTGTATAATTAAAAATTGTAAACCGCCCGGAGAGTGCTTGTAACACTATGGGGCGGTATATAAGTCCAATAAATAAATAAAAATAAATAAATAAATATCAGTGAAAGACAGCGGAACATTGAACTTTACACACCTGAAAATAAGAGCGAACACCCAAAAATGCTTCAGCTTTGTTCCATTGCGGGCCTTGGGGACCACTCTGAGCCCAAAGTAAAACACCAGGCGCAGTCCATCAAAATTATAAACACATTGACTGGTATTATATAACAGATACAAGTTTTAACCAAAACCTTCTTCTATTGTTGTTGTTGTTGTTGACTGCTTAGGTTATCACGTGACAGAAGGCTATGGCTCATTTGAGGAGGATAACAAGAACGACAACCTATTTATACTGATCTTCTGCCTTTCCTCCAATGAGCTGAAGATGAAGTACATGACTCTCCTCCTCCTCCTCCTCACACCAACCCTGTAAGGTAGATCAGGCTGAGGAAGAGTGGCCAGAGTTTTACTACTTACAAGCAGTAGTGGAAGTCAAACTGCATGAATCTCAGTGACAAAGTGCTGTTAGTTAAGGAGCTGACGCTTGAATTCCTCATGGCACACCAGTTATATGGTGTGGCATATGAGAAACACAAGCCTCAACTCCTTCAACTCACTGCTGATTACCTTGAAGACCGGCATCTTCATCGAGCACAGCAAAAACATTTTAAAATACAACTGCAAAGCAAAATAATACAAAACAATACATTTAACATCCACGTTTTGAGCGAGTAATGCTTCCAGAGAGGACTACGAGTTCCATACATTTTATCTGTCAAGGATAAAATGTTGCTGAGGTTCAAGAATCCAAGGTCCAAAAATGAAGACTAAACCTTAAAATGATGGAATGGCAAAGGCTTCTGCAACATCCTGGAGAATGTCAGTACCAGCTTTTAAAACTTCCTCAGTCATGTGAGAAAAATCTGCTGGTAGCTTCAATTTAAATGGCTTAGAAATCAGAAGTCCCTATATACATACAGCAGTCAACAGGACTTCTCTTTATCGCTCTTTCGTAGATCAGGGGTAGGGAATCTGTAGCCTCCAAATGTTGATGGAGATCTACTCTCAGGATCCCTGACCAGGGACTCGGCTAGACATTCGCCCAATGCTGATCGATTGCTTCTACCCAAGATGTGCCTTCATGATCCCGAAACAAAAATAACTACAAAAAGTAGAATCACAGCAATTGAGTGTTAGAGATGCCGGGACGGCTCCCAGATAGTTGGGAGGCAGGCAGAACCTCACCTTGACACGAGCCATCCGCATCCACGTGTTTTGACTTCAGCTCCCAGGAGCCCTCCCCAGTATGACCAGAGGTAAGGAACTGTGGGAGTTGTAGTCTAAAAGTTCCCCACCTGTTAAGAAGGGTCTTGGGTTTAATCCAAGGCAGAAATTTTGCAGCTCCAGTGCTGCTGAGAGGTCAGCACTTAGGGCCTTTCTCCTTATAATTTTTAGCTGAAACCTGCTTCGGTGTAATTTTCTGCCGTTATCTCCAGTCTTATCTTTTGGATTAAAAAGGAAACAAGTGTACTTTATCTATGTGGCAGCTTTTCGGATGTGAGCATCAGAACGGCAAGCAAAATGAGGGCTGGCTATGTTTTCTCAAACCTGCCCAATTCGTAGTTAAGAGCAATTTAGAATTCACAGCTTTTCATTATCTCCGACTTAAGAAATGATGAGATTAAGAGGACCACAGAAGCTTTTGCCTGAAGGAGCTGCAGATGGCAAATAATAAAGCGTAGGAACTGAGCCAAAGCATCATAGCTGAAGTCGTAAACTCCTAATGCTCTGGTACCATCCTATCTCAGCATGCCATCCAGGCAGTTGGCAGACATTGTAAAGTTTAGCCTACTGCCCCACTTTTCAGAAAATCTAAGAATTCTAATAAGTCAAAGCCTCTTTCTTCTTCTTCTTCTTCTAGCAGCTTATCTGACAGGGAAAGCTGAGGGGAAAAATGCTGATTCGTTTGAAACATGGTGCTGGAGGAGAGCTTTGTAGATGCCCTGTGCTGCCAGAAAGGCAAGGAAGTGGGTCCTAGAGCAAATCGAGCCCAAATGATTTCAGGAGGCAAAAATGATGGCACTGAGGCTGTCCTCCTTTGGGCACATTGTCACGGTTGATTTCGTTTAGAATTGATAGGTTTGTTCAGGAAAAATGCTGATTCATTTGAAACATGGCGCTGGAGGAGAGCTTTGTAGATGCCCTGTGCTGCCAGAAAGGCAAGGAAGTGGGTCCTAGAGCAAATCGAGCCCAAATGATTTCAGGAGGCAAAAATGATGGCACTGAGGCTGTCCTCCTTTGGGCACATTGTCACGGTTGATTTCGTTTAGAATTGATAGGTTTGTTCTCCTTGCAGTCCAGGGGACTCTCAAGAGCCTCCTCCAGCACCACAATTCAAAGGCATCAATTCTTCGGCGGTCAGCTTTCTTTATGGTCCAGCTCTCACTTCCATACATCACTACAGGGAAAACCATAGCTTTGACTATGAGGACTTTTGTTGGCAAGGTGATGTCTCTGCTTTTTAAGACGCTGTCAAGGCGTGTCATCACTTTCCTCCCAAGAGGCAGGTGTCTTTTAATTTCGTGGCTGTTGTCTCCATCTGCAGTGATCGCGGAGCCCAAGAAAATTAAATCTGTTAATAAGGAAGTAGGAGAATCCTATTTTCTGTATCAGGAAAGAACCAGATTTAAGGCAAGATCCCACAGAGACCTGCTCCAAAATCCATGTAGCCAATCACAGAAATGAATATGAGATGTGAAAAGTAATACAAATTTACTGAACTACTCACTACTTGAGTAATTTCACATTTAAAATGCCAGTAATATATAACTATGCATTAAATTCATCATTCCAAAACCTGACAAATTTAGAAAAAATAAAGAGTGAAACTAAATGAAGTGCTTAAAAAAAAGGGAATAAAGTATCTGTTATGCAGCACTTGTTGGCCAGAACCCTACTGGTTAGTTTTTTTTAACATAAGCACAATGGTGTATACTGCAGTAACAAAACTGCTGCTAGCTAAGGAGACATTGCCTGTATTCCTTGGTGTGCAACAAGGAAAACGAACAGCAATTTGTTATTAACTAGGAGCAAGTCACTGCTGCAGTTTATATCATTGTGTTTATGCTAGCATAACTAAAGAATAGAATTCTGGTCAAGGGGTAACTACACAGAATATAATAGTCTGTACATAACAAATAGTCCCAGCTACAGCACCGGGAGTCTCAGCTGGACTAGATGCACTGAGTCAATGACATATATGCCAGTGGTGACTCTATAAATCCTATTTAATCCACGGCTCTACTCAAGTTGGAACTAACAACTGGTTTTGGGAATAGTTAATGGCACAGAGCTGAATACTATCAGCACTGTATCTGCTTCTTCTTTAGGTCTTTATTTACCTATGCTGACCTCTGCACACACAACTCCACCTACATTTGTTTAAGCTTACGCTTCCCTTTCAGGTTATGAGCCATTCGAACCACTGGGTTCCCATACGAATGTGGCAATGTTCTGTTGCAGGATAAAAACGTTTGAATAATTTTTAGGAAAGTACTGAGTTTTCTGAAAACTGTACCCTTTGGAAAGAGTTCATTGTTAATAATATTTATTTTTTAAAAGGTGGAATCCAGTTCACATAAGCAAGGTTTTCACATGAGTCAATTCCAAGGTTATATGATAACCAGCAGTACTTCTTCAGAAACGTACCATATTTTTCCGTGTATAAAACGACACTAATTAGGGGGGAAATTGAGGGTTGTTTGATACACGGAAGGAGGCAGAGGCAAAGGAGCACTCGCACACACTCGGGCACCTCTTGCTGCCACCGCCCATTGCCTCCTCCAGTGTACTCGGGCCTCCTCCAGTGCGACTGCTGGGGCTCACCTCCAGCTCACGTCGCTGCCTTGTCCCCTCCAGTGGCGGAGGCAGCAGCAGCAACGGGCGGAGGTGGAGGCAAAGGAGCACTCACGCACGCTCGGGCACCTCTTGCTGCTGCCCATTGACTGCTGCCACCGCATCGCTTCCTCCAGCGCTCCCTTTGAGCAGGGGGCAAGGCGGGGACAACATGAGCTCACCGCATCGCTTCCTCCAGCGTTCCCTTTGGGGCAGGGGGCAAGGCGGGGACAACATGAGCTGGAGGTGAGCCCCAGCAGTCGCACTGGAGGAGGTGATCGGGCGGGCAGCGCAGGCAGCAGCAGCAGAAGACGGAGGTCGAGCAGCAGTTGCCCATTAATTGCTCCCCCACCTCCATCAAGGGTCAAAATTAGGGAGTTGTTTTATACATTGGGGGGAGTCGTATACACAGAAAAATACGGCAAGTAGCTCTACCCCAACCATGAGATCCTCATGTTCTCCCCACCGAACACAATGTGGATGATTCTGTAGACAATTCTCCTCTGTACAAAACAGCTGAAGAAGTCTTGATTTATGTCCATGATTGGGGGTCATCACTAATAAGCCCCCCACTTCCCAAATACCCCTGGAAAAATAACAGGAGTGTTCTGTCAGTTGAAGGGTCGCCTCCTTCCTCTTTTACTTTGGAGATGGCCAGCAGAACGCCGGAGTTTTTTCCTCTCCAGATGATGGTGCCTCTCTGCTTCATGCTGTTTCCTCTGCTGTTCTGACTGAAAACAATTGCAGAAAATACTGAAATAAGAAGCTGCACTAGGTATCAACCAGAGAGATGGAAGAAAAATTACATGGATCCAAGTTCTAAAAACAGATGTCCCAAGTGAATTTCTTTTGTCTACAACTCTATGTTAGATACATAAACATGCTGTTAAACTTAGCTTCTATAAATTATATTTCAAGCACAAGCAAACTTGAGACTATAATCCTATACCTAGTGAATAACAGTGAGCCATCGAGTCAGTTCTGACTTTTGGTGATCCATTTCAGGGTTTTCTAGGTAGAGAATACTCAGAAGTGGTTTAACAATTCCCTTCCTCAACGGGGAGCCTTGGGACTGTACAGCTTGCCCAAGGCTACACAGGCTGGCTCTACTCACAGGAGGCCCAGTGGGGAACTGAACTCCCAAACACTGGCTCTGCTGTCAAGATAGCTAATTCACTGAGCTATCTAGCCTATTTACATGGAAGTAAGCCCCACAGCAAACAACAAATGCTGACTTCCGACCAAACCCATGTAAGCATGCACTGCAAGGCACTGTAGACTTCTCTGTATTTCATTCACTCTTGACTTCCCTTCCATAGCACTTCCGACCAAACCCATGCAAGCATGCACTGCAAGGCACTCATTCTTTGTAGACTTCTCTGTATTTTCATTCACTCTTGACTTCCCTTCCATAGTCAGTGTGCTGCTGCCATCCTACAGGTTTGATGTAGCAGAGACGAGATGCAACATGGGGTGAAAGAGTGCCTTTCCTGCTTTGCTAGGAGAAGTTACATTTTTTTCCCTGAGCTCCCAGAGGTTTTTGGGACTTGTTGTCCAAAAGAAAAGAAAAATTCCAAGCTCTGCATCCAAGCTAATACACATTGAAACTCCAGATGCCAAATGGATGGGAAAACAGAAACTTGTATACCTTGCATACCTCACTGCCTTTTCCCATGTCTAAAAACGGCAGCATAAAGATCACATAAAGCAGTGGTTCCCAACCTTGGGTCACCCAGGTGTTCCTGGACTGCAACTCCCAGAAACCTTCACCACCAGCTGTGTTGCCTGGAGTTTCTGGGAGCGGCAGTCCAAGGACACTTGGGCTACCTAAGGTTGGGAAACCCAAATGTAAAGCAACAAAACATATGCAAAGACAAAACACACACACAGCATGAACGTTCCTGTTGCCCCAGAAACAGCAACCAAAGCTTAGTATCTAAGTGTGCCAACAGAACACTGATTTAGCGATTCTATTAGATTATTATTAGCAGAGTTTTTGACTGAGGATAGGACCAGATGAGCAGAAGGTCAGCTCCAAATTAGTGTGGTAGGTCACAGCTCATCCCGAAGGAAACTAGGGCTTGACCGCAATTCCCATCTGCAGCACGCTGCGAAGCCACATTTTTCAAAATTGCTCGTTCAAGGGAGAAATCATAAATTAACTTTGGTGGAGCTTTTTTGCCTTTGGAGCTTCCCGGCCGCCGAGCCCCCGCCCCCATTTTCAGAGCTAAGTTTAGGCACTCCAGCATTTCCCATATAGACAAACTCTATACGAGAAGCGCTGGAGTGCCTAAACTTTGCCCTCCCAACGAACAACTCTCACAACAAAAAGAAACCACCTTGTCAGGAAGAACAAAAATTCACCAAAGGCAGTGGAAAAAGACAGCGATCACACATCAGAGCAAGTCTTGTGTTGTCTGGACATCAGGAAAAAATACGGAGATGACTATTGCTCATGAAACACGAGGCTGGAACGATGGTCTGAACGAGCCCTGGACCGGGCGCTCATGAAACAGGAGGCTGGAACGATGGTCTGAACGAGCCCTTATTGACGGCTTTACACATACCTTTTTTAATTTGAAGGTAACTTGTTTGCTTCCTACAGTGGTATCATGTACACTGAGTGCACCTACTCTCTCTTCAAGTTGCAAACGATCTTCAAGCGTTTTTCTGTAGACGACACATGAGAGAAAAAGGCAGTTGATTATACTTTTGAGATCTGCATGCTGCAAAAGGATATGCTTCAAAAAGACAACACAGTGAAGCTGACTGCCATCTCTCATTGTATGCTTGCTTCCACAACACTTTCCATTGAGGGGAGGAGATGAAAACCATGAGCTATTACAGATCTTCTGTAGAGAGTTGTTCCACTACAGCCCCTTTTCTTGTTTATTTTCTAAGAGTCAGCAAGAGATCTAACTTTCAAAAAGCATGCTTTTCTGAAATGGCTCTGTCTGTGGCATTTCATGCTTGCTCCTCAATTATGCAGATGTAACTATCGAGTAACTATCATGCCTCCCCACCTTTCATTTACCATCATCCATTTAAAAAGTTCAGTATGTCATTTAAAATTTAAAATACACAAAAAACACACCCCTCAAACAATATCATTTTCAACTGAAAAAAAAAGCACAAATAACTTCCCTTGAAAATTCTAATTCTAGAAACCGGGTCTATTATAGAAATTTACTTAAGTTCATTAAAGAACTTGTTTGTGTAAACCTAGAATCCTCTTGTCCCTCTTGGAATTTCTTCACACAACCCTGGCAGAAAAATCCAATTTGGGAATATACAGTACAGTATTAAGATATCACACCACGTTCAAACCGTGTAATTTCATTTAGCTTTAATATTCCATTTCTCATATTTGTAAGGACTCGATCAAGCAGAAAGCATAGCAATATTAGGTCTTTTAGCTCACTCCCTTTTTTAAAAAAAATGGGAAAAATCCAGATTTCTTTTTTGATGGATTTTTTTAAGGTGAACCTCAGGCCAATGGCACGATTCATTTTTAGAGCCCAAAATGCTGAAACAGGAGAAGGAAGTTGGTTTATGTAGACTTCAATGTGGCCAAGGTGCAATGCTTGGAAGAAAGCAGCATTGCAAGACTGAAGACATGTGGGCTTTAAAAAAAAGAAGAAGCTCCAAGCAACACTGAGTCAGGACTATGATAAAGGAACACCCTGTTTTATATTTTAACAGTCATAAAACTCTTCACAAATGTCACCATAAAAATCAAATGTCTAGCCATTAAATGGAGTGAGGAGACACTAAGACAGTAAAAATGAGATTCAAGGTTTAAAAAAAACAACAACAACACCATTGTATCACTTTAAAAACTAATACATTCACTCTAGCCTAAATATTTGTGGACTAAAGTTCAGCTTATTGCATGTGAAAGTTTATGCCATAATCTTTTCAACAGTTTTTAACAGGCTACTCTATTGTTTTTGCTACAACAGAATAACATGGAGAACCCCTCTAAAAGGTTCCGGATGTTATCTATCTCTTACCCAAGGGATACCCTCACAAGCAAACCCTCAAAATTAAACCAAGCCAAAAAATTATGCTTGATATTGATGAGACAGTCATTTGTACATGTTCTGTAGGATGTTGGGGGATGTTTGCTGGAACACATGTTTAATACAAAAGGAAGGTACAGGTGAACTGAAATAAAGTATCCTTGATTTTACCAAGAAAGAATGAAGAGCATGAGTCACCAATTAAAACCAGTTTGACTTTTTCAAGAGTCTGGCTTTTGGCTTTTCCATGCATCGATTCTTTTGAATGGTGTTCAGTTCGGTATCAATATGAGCAAAAAGCCAGAAAGGCCACGCAAGGCAATGTGCATGCACACGGGCTTTTCAGCTCTCACATGCACATGCTGCACCCTCCCCATATGCCTATAGCAATAGCTGGGGACATGAACACAAATTCTTCTGGATCCCAGCTTGCTATATCCACAGTACTGTCTCTATGGAATGAGAACAGTATGGCTGCTGGTCTCTTTGCTGAAGGACTGGAACTCAGTGGCACAGCTCAAGTTCCGCATGCAGAATATCTGAGGTCCCATCCCCGTTGTCTCCCCGACTTCAGGGCTACCTGAAGTCCGGGAAAGCTGCTGCCAGTCACTGGAGACAATACTCCAGTGTCCAGCAGACCAAAGGCACTTTCCTGTGTCCTTTTTATAAGGAGGACAGCACTGGATAAGTCAAGATTTGACTTGCATCAGGCAACCAAGAGAGATATTTTGGCAGAATTTAGCATCTCTTTCAATACTATATTTACAAGCTGACCACACACAATTGAGAACATTCTCCAGCATGGGCATTCTCCTACAGTCATTTTTTAACAAACACACTTAGATCCTTCACATCACCTTCGTAGCATTTCTCCCACATGCCGCCTGCTTTAAAGATCACCTTGCTCATAACAGCTTTTCTTGTGGGGTTAAAAACAACAACAACGAATCATGGATATTTAGGTGCACTTGGAGATGGGGGCAACCTATGACTAAACAGAAGCCTTCCTTCTTTCCGTGTGTGGGACTTCACAGATACCACAGCACACCAGTTCACTGTCATCAACTGAGTTTTTGAAACAACTATCTGGGTAACGTAAGTAGTGCCTCTTTGGAAGAGAATAAAGACTCAACTAAGTCTAGAGTTCTGGGTTGGAACCAGATTATCCTTACCTGAAATGGGCCCACTGAGATCATGTGGACTTATTAACAATGACAAACTCAGGTCCCACAGATTTAATTTTGTCTATTTTTAAAACATGACTAGGTCTGAATCTAACTCTCTGTCCCCAACAGCAGTTACCTAGATGCTTCCTAAGACACTTCCAAGCAAGTCATCTTTCGTCCTAGCATTTGCCATTAGAGGCATACGGCACATGTTCTGTTTTTAGGTGGCACAGATAATAAGCACCAAGACACCTATTTTGCCATGCACTTGTCTATTCCATGAATTTGTCTTTCTTTAAACTACACACATCAGCAGAAGAATCCAGTAAAAGAATTTTAGCAATTAACATAAAATATATGTATTTCCCCTATTCATAACATCCCTCAGTTGAATCTAGTTATTGTTCAAGGTCTCTCCTCCAATAGAAACCAAGGTACTACATATAATACACGATAGCCGACAACTGGTGTCATAATAGTGTCCAATTCTGCGTGTGATGGCACTTCCTTCCTTCCACTTGCTTCTGCAGCTCTCCCTGCTTAGTGAAAACCAGGTGCAGAGTTTCCCCCGCACCTTACTCTGGAGCAGGGAGGGAAAAGGGGCCTGCAGGAGGGAAGAAGGTTCAGATTCTGCTGACAAAAACCCTTTCATCAGTGGAAGTGCCTCAATGGATTCTTGACAAAATTATATTTAAATCAACATTTTTAATGTTTAGGCTGACACAAAGAATGAAGTCCATTAGGCTTTCTGCAGGCCAAGAAGCTACTTTTGGAGAAATATATGCTATTAGGTTAAATCTAATAAAAAGGCTAGATCAAAACAGGGAAGTTTCCGAATGTGCTAGTATGAAATGGGCTGAAAGGGGATAAATCTAGTAATTTCTTGAGCTGACTGAGACCAAGCCCCATTCTCTCAGATTTATAGAGACCCCTACAGGTTGCAATAGCATTTCTCAAGCCCTTTCTTTTTTAAAAAAAAAAGCAACGGAAAAACTACTGGAAGGGAACAGCCCTTTTACAAAAGATCTAACTTGGATGATGGTTGTGAAGATTTCTGAAATGTACAGAGAACACAGTCATAAAAAGCTGGTTGACACAAGTCGGAAAAGAATAAAAATGTGAAGAAAGTTTAAGTGGCATGTTGTTAGGTTGGCATAAATAAGGCTGAAAGATGGCTGGCGGAGAGTGCCCGCAGGGCCTTTCTGAAGTGTCCTGTCCCCTGCACAATGGCTCCTCTCTCTGCTTGTGCCCCTCTGCACAGAACCCTCAGCTGGTTTTCGGAAGCACGCCTCCTTGCATCACAGCCCCTACATCTATGCGTGCAGAGGATAAGGGACAAAATAAGACACACTCCTTTTGTCATGACTGGCTATAAAAACAACTGTCTTCAGAAGAAATCAGTGAAAACTGACAACACATAACCCAGCATCTCAATCATATTCAAGATGTTTGTTGGGGGGGAGGGGAAGAAGGAGGTCAAGCCCAGTGAATTGCAAGCCTTACTTCATTAACTTTTGCCTTTTGGCTGTGTCCTTGAAACTTCTAAATTCTTCCCCAGCTTTAATCTCAAAAAACTTGGGTTCCAGGACTGTTTGCTGATCCTCCTTGAACCTTTCCTGTCGTTTTACTTTTTCCTCTTGGCGAAGAAGTCTGCGCTGTTTCCTGACCTCTTCAACCCAGCCTTTTTCATCCTCTGAAGTCTCAGAGCTTTCTGCATCACTTGGTTTTCCTTCTGGTTCTTCCTCTTCTTCCTGGAGGCAAAAATAGTTACTTAAAAAAAAAAGGAAACCTGTTCATGTCCCAGAAAAAGAACCATTTACCCACTTAGGAGTACGTGACTCTCTACAGATGTGCAATTTAGAGAGGGCTATAATTCAAGGGCACAAAAACATTTGCGACAAGTAATTCAGAAGAAGCTGAGGCTCCAATACTTTGGCCATCTCATGAGAAGAGAAGACTCCCTGGAAAAGACCCTGATGTTGGGAAAGTGTGAAGGCAAGAGGAGAAGCGGACGACAGAGGACGAGATGATTGGACAGCATCATCGAAGCTACCAACATGAATTTGACCCAACTCCGGGAGGCAGTGGAAGACAGGAGGGCCTGGCGTGCTCTGGTTCATGGGGTTACGAAGAGTCGGACATGACTTAACGACTAAACAAAAACAAATTCAGAAGAAGTAAACCAACACCAAAACTCAAAAGCATTAAACATGGTTTCTTGTCCATTATCACGATTCCATTTCCTCCTGAACGTTCCTGGCATATGCTTCAGGATGGCTCTCATTCCAATCAGACCTCAGGACAGGAGTCACCACATCTGTGCGTGCTGAGGAAAAAGGATGAAACAAGACAGAGGAGCAGCAGACCCAAAGCACTTAAGAAGACACAGGAGGAGATGGGAGTCTACCCAATGTCTTAAAACTAGAACACAGAAATGAATTCATGACACCAGCCCTTAGATACCAATCTTTTGGTCCCAGACAGTGGCTGGGCAACTTTCCCAAGGTAGGCTTTTTCAGGGTGTGGGTGCCATTTGCTTATTTACTTATGATGTAACCAAGGTGTGTTTGTTTGTTCGCCTTCTCTTTAAATGTCTTATGGTAAGACGGTTGTTCTGGGTCACAAAACCACTTACAAACCTACCAAAGCACAACTTCTTAGAAAACAGTTACAACCAATTGGTGGTCTTCACACAGAAAGCTGCTTTCTAACCAGGTCAGACTCTTGGCCGGCACTTTCTCCTTCCAAGAGGCAGCCACCTTCAGCCCCTGTCCCAGCCCTGCTGCCCACTAAGGACGCCTGGCAGTAATCTTGAATCTTACGCATCCCAAATACATGTTCTACCACGAAACAGTGGACGCGCTCCAGTGTTGTTTTTAACTTCAGAGGTAGAAGATGGGGATGGGCAACCCAGATGTTTCCAACAACTCATGGATCCCTTTCCCATGGGTTCTGTTGCCTGGGACTGACAGGAACTGACGTCCAAAACATCCGGTGTTTTACACACTATTTGCGCAATTCTTCTTGAATGACAGGTCCCTGAATTGACGAGGGAGGCTAGAATGCAGACTCTATCTGAATTCATCTTTCCATTTCCTTTCTCTTCAGCTTTCTGAAGTTCGTATGTAAACTTTTTCAGCTTTTTATTATGCAGACTAGGAAACTGTAAATACTGCTGCCACCTGAAGTATCCTTTATAACAAAGCATCCTTATAACAACCTTTATGGGCCTGAAGGTTTGCTAACATTACAAAGGTCTCAAAACTTTCTTTTTTTTTTTTCCTCGTATCATCTGCTTCAGCTAATCGGTCTATGAATGGACTTGCTTGTTCTTTTAGAGAGAAGAATATTTAACCAAATAAAATATAGTAAGAGTATTTCAGAAATCATTTGTACAATTTTTTTTTAAGGAGACTGGAATTGTTGTGGTTGAAAAAGTAAAAAGTTTTATGTTGTGGCTGAAAAAAGTAAAAAAAATGCTGCCCTTAGAAAGCCTCATTAGCATAAATCATTTGTTTTCACCCAAACAACTGGAGGTCTATTTCCAACATGAAATAAAGGGCAAAATCGAATGCTGCACACTTAGGAATGATTATGTCAATTGCCCAGGTAAATGCCACATTTCACAGAGTGACCCCAACAACACTGATGGGTGTCCAGCCACGCCAACTACAAACAAACAAAAGACACTTTAGAGAGCTTGTGGGATCTATACCCCGCCTGGCATGAACTTGCCCAATTGTATGGGGGAACAGCTGCTATCAGCCTAAACCTCAACAAGTGATGTGACCACACCAAAGCTAGAAGAGTAATTCTCACTCCCAGACCACCTGCCTCCTGATCAGCGGAGAAAATCAAGTGGGTCGGTCGAACGTCATGTTGGGACAACCGCATGGTTCTCCTGGTAGCCATTAAGTCCTGAGCTGATCATGTTCAGACAGTCTGAGTCCTACAAGGCAAACATCCGGGGGCCCCTCAACACCAGATTTGAATTTTCATTGTTTTTACCTTTTGGACTGCAGTATCTGCTCTATTTATCCCCCACCACCCCATTTGTATTTTCACTTCTCCGTTTCCAACTGGCTGCTTAAATATAAATAAGCAGTGTTATCAACTAACAACCCAAAAGACCTCAATGTTAAACCCTAGTATTACGACACTATCCCAGTGGACCAATAACAAGATGCAAGCACTGTAAAAGGGATGGCAATGGATTAGGAAACCTGGTGATAGAGACTGAATTTTTACAGGTCTCATGAATGCCACTACCTTGTTCTTCAGCCTTGAACTGTGCATCTAGCGGACTCAGCTGAAACAGACCCAAGGTGTGGATGACACTAGTCAGACCATTCCTTTCATCCATGATGTACTGTAACATGGCGGTTTTAGCATGTATGAATATTCTTGAACACTCCTAAAAAATTAAGGCATGACCCAAATGCAACATGAATATGGTTCCCCCTTTTATCCTCATTCAGCTCTCCTCCTCTGTACCTTGTACGTTATTCAGTTTCAGAGAACAGATACTAGGTAGGGAATAATAAAAGAGGTCATGGTGGAATCCACTAAACATCTGCACCAAGCACACAACTTGTGTGGGCCATTCCCCCCCCCATTATAGATGGGTATTGTTCTTGCAAGCAGAGATCAAAGAACAGAAGAAAGTGGCAAAGCATCCCAAATTTACCTTTCCGAGGACTTCTTGCTCCTCTAACATCTTTAGCTTCTTCTTTCTTTTCTCACCCATTTTAGAAACGAGTGGATTAAGCAGCCTAAACTCTTCACTCTTTTCATCCACCTGGAAATCTGGATTCTCAAACATGACTTTGAAACGGTCATCATTAAGAATGCTAGGCATTTTCTAGGCAGGAAAACAGACAAACCAAAAGATGTAACATTTCAAACGTTCTGAATTATTATTATTTTCTTGCATTCATAGATTCCCCCACAGAAATTTGTTAAACAAGCAGGCATTGTTTCTGAAACTCAGAATAAAATTCTTTTCTCTCCCATTTTCTAAATACTTTTCCATATCTTACCCACTATTAAAAAGCTGTCTCAGGAAAAATTGTTCAGATTTAACACCACAGGAAGAGATCACTAGACCGAGTGGGAGCTTCAGGTTTGCAACTCTTTCCACTCCTTCAGCAGTATCACTGTAAGAAGAGTCTGAAATCTGTTGTTTCCATTTCAGATTAGCTACCCATGTGTCCTTGGAACCCAAGTGGGTAGTCTTAAACATAGTTTGTTTGAAACCAGCCAACTTCAACCCTTCAAACTCTTAGAAACCATCATTAAACTAACCACAGCTCAGGATTTGGAAGCAACCATGACTTACCAAAGACAATAAATAAACAATGAACATTCTCATAGCAATACTGGAAGTTAGAAGGCAGTATATGAGCTGAGGCCTACTAAGCTATATGTGACTCAACATGACAGCTGCACACAACTCATCAGCTACTATTACCATGTGCCACTACAACTCAGTGATACTTTCAGCCTATATACAGTGTACTGATTCTACACTGGTTATATCTGTTTAGTTTTGGGGGTTTTTTTAACCCTCAAAACTTAAGGAATATTAAAGAAACATAAATGTTGACCAAGGATGATTTGATAATTCCAAATGCAGCCTTTATCCAGATGTTCCCAAAGAGGAGCTAAAACAAAATGGTCCCATCCCATCTTATCATCATTCTTCTAGTGACAGCTAGGAGGGGTGCCTTTCCATGTGATTAGGACTCTCCCAAAAATCAAAGGTAAAGGATATTGTCCTTTTCTGAATGCTGCTACCCATGTGAGAGATAGCCAGAGGTGAAACAGGGCTAATATGCACCCTTCCTCTCATACTGACTTCAACTCTGCACATGAATGCGCAAATAAAGCTTGCCTAGTTCAACACACATACAAGATTGCCACATCTTGCTTCAAATATTAACTCAAAACAGTATTTTAAAATCTGGCACTGGATTTTAAAGAACAGTAATTACATAAATACAACTAAAGAATTGCATTTAAGGCCTACTTTGTTCTGATTCAGGTGCATGTGTGAACCAGTAAACGGATGTTGGGAGAAGCTCTGTAGCACAACACATCCCACACTGAAACCCTTCAATTAAGCAGGGCCTTGCAGAGGGTCACAAGTTAAATCCTCGTACTTAAAGCATTAAAAGGAGATGGGGATTTTGGGAGATAGGTTCATTCTCAAAGTGATTTAATTAAGATGATGATATTCCAACAGCCCTTTAAAATATTTTCAACTGCTTTTTTTATTGTTGCCATTGGAAAATTATGAACACCTGGGGATTAATCTGGCCCAACAATTTGTTTGTACAGCTGCCCAGAAAGGAAAATTCTTTTGAGTAGTAACGACAAGTCTAAAAATACTCTGCAAGAGTAACAGACAAGAATATTATGAACACCAGCTGCATTACAGCCCATCAGGGAAATAGTCAGAAGCGGTCTGCCATTATTTATTTTACATTTAGCTCAGTTGAACCTAAAGGACACGTCTGAAATGCCAAAAGAACGGAAGACACGATGCTCATGTGATAAAGCTACTGCATCACTCCCAGAAGACGGTAGGCATGTTACCTGCTTTTTAACAGATATCACCTAAGACCGTTCGACTTAGCTTTGATCGCTATTAACTCCAACACAACATTTCTACTGTGTTCAAGGCAGTGCACTTAGGAACACACAGAGAGATCTCATTCGAAGGAAACAGGGAAGCCAGACTTCAGTGAGATAGGATAAAATAGGGTTGTGGGCTGGTGGGTGACCAAAACAAAAACAAACACAAAAAACAGGGGGGGGGGATGTTTGGCTAACAGAAGTGAGCCTATGAATCTCCTTTAGACCAAGTCTAACTATGAGTCCACTTGAAGGTTTTGGACATATTATGTTTTGGTCATAGGTGATACTGGCTGGAGAATTCTATGAGTTGCATTCCAAAAAGCCATGTTTCCAAGTTTGGCCCACCAGTTCCAGTACGGTTTTCCCACCTCCGATGGATGTGTTTCGTAAACCTCCTAGTGCAGAGATTTTGAAATGGCTGAGCCTGCACCTGGGGCCATCTGCAAATCTCACACTCTTACCCTGAAGCCTGAGTCCCCTACTCTCCCCAGAAATATTAAGAGCAAAAATTAGTTGACTCAGCATATCTAATCCTTGACACCACTACCAGATTCACTGTTGCGGAGAAGGAATGGCAGAAACAGAGCAGAATTTCCCACCTTTTGTTTCTTTTTCCTTGCGTTTTGCACCTCTTCTTCTCCCTCCTCGATCAACTTTAATGCAAGTTCTTTATTAACCTTAGGAAGTTTCTAGGGGAAAAAAGATGCACAGATCCTTTTAAATTCGGACCAGCTACATGGAACACGGCATTGATCATGTTTTTTTTTAACAAAACATATAAATCACAAACAATAGCTATATTGATATATAATTACTCAGACTCTTTTAAAAAACTGTCTGATCATTAAAAGCCAGGTTTGAGTGACATCTCGATCCTGAAGAGGAGGCCATGCCATTAAAAATTTTGTTGTTGTTGTTGTTTGTGATAAAGAAATGCAGTTTGGGCTCTTTTCACACAGCAGAGATCTCCTGATGCTCCGTCAGTGGCCTGCGTTGTAATGGCTCCCATCAAACTGTGGTACTGTAGTCCCACACTGCCAGCATACACTCTTCACAATTACCACATTCCGCAGCAGAGAAATTCACATTTTACCCCACGTCGGTTTCTTCCACAGACTCATCAAATGCAAGACTCAAGCACTGGCTTTACTTCTTTTCAGCTTTTATTCCTAAACAGGAAATCTGAACTTGTGAAAGGGGGCTTGAGGCTAAGAAGACAGTCCCCAAGGTTTCTGCCCTCTGGCTCTCACCTTACAGCACAGAAAAGCGAAGTCTGAAAGAGCCCTCCTATTTGCATTTGCTTGAGTACATCCCATGAAGAGCAACCCTGTTTTACAAGGGTTCCTGATCAAATCAAGAATTTGTCTCATTCAAAAGAATATGGCACCCAACCTTGGAGGGCACCCAACGGGCAGATATCTATGGAAATGCTGGGCACAGGGTTTGTGTGTCTCTCCCAAAGGGCTTTGGGTTCTTCGTTTGGACATAATACATAAACATGGCTGAAGTGCTCCAGTCACAAAGCATAGCAGCTCTGAAGCACAAAAATATAACAGGTTTCACAAAGTGATATTTATGTTTCTTGAAAATGGGATAGTACTTAAAGATGCTTTCCAGCAGAGTCAGATCCTCACCTTTAGTTGCACTCTTTGTGCACGTGTTTCTTCTATCTTCTGCCTAATTTTCTCTCTTCTATATTCCTCATAAGCAAATGGATTCACCATCATTTTAACCTGAGAACACATAACGGGGAAGTGGTAAATAGGAGTGGCTCAGAGAACAATAATACACGATGACAGTTATAATTATTCCAGGTTTACCTTGTGATAGAGTCGTATGTCCATGAAAAAGCCGTGCATATACGCTCGGAGAAGTGGTGACCCAATCAGATGAGTTAGACCTTGGGAATAAGGAGAGGCACCCAAATCAGGCAATCTTTTGGTAAGATACAGGGAATCTACTGAAGTTTCCTTCAGCTATGTTCTACACTGGTGGTTGCGCACATGAGAGCTAATATATCTTGTACCCTGCCTTGTGGAAATACTGTGCAATAACTGATTTTACAGCCTTCATACATGTTCAAACTCCAGGGAAGGACACACACTTTACAAGTTATTTACACTTCATGACATAAATAGACACACCCTTTCCCCCCACATTCACACTAGAGAAGTCTCATGTTTTCTATGGTCAGTTTGGGATGCTTCACAGCGACTGTTTCTCCAAGCAACGGGTGTCCATTATATGTGTGACATATTGCGCCGTGTCATATAAAATTTTTCATTCCCTTAATAAAGCTTCCTGCTGCATTAAACACACAGAAGTATCCTGTGCCTTTTGCTCTCCCTCTCTCTTCGTGTGTAAGAGGCAGGCTGGGGTATTAAGTTCTGGAAAGCGACGGGGGTCTCGCTCTTTGAGCAGAAGGAGTAGCTCCAAAGGGTACCCTAAATTGTGGCTGCAGGAGGAAAACACAGGAGGCTTAGAGCTGCCATCCCTCAGCTCTGCCCACCCTGCAGCAGCTTCACCTCGCCAGTTCTTCAAATGAGAAAGGGAAGCAATGTAAAGTTCCACTTCAGGAAGGAAGCAAAGGAGGCTGGCCGGCCTCTTCCCTTGAGTGGTGCCAACAGGAAGGAAAAAACAAGTTATGAAGGCGATGGGTCGTTGCCGCCACCGCCGCCCTCTCCATGCAGGCTGTAACATTCCGCCATAAAACTGAATGGAGGCAAATTCATGGTTTCAGCAGAAGGTATGCCACAGATCTTGGGGTTACTGCTGTGGTGCAGAGAAAACCTTGTCTGAACCTATTCACATTGGTGGCTTTTTGAAACATACAAATGAATAGTAACTATCCACTCCTGTGGAATGGGAATTAAAAGTTGCTCCTGGGGAAATCACCGGGTGGTTGGGGTGGCGGTGAGGACAGTAACAAATCAATGTTGGCTAAATGGGTTGCCTGGGCAGGGACTCCAAGAGGAGTTAGTTGAATGTGCACAAACAATGGCCATAGAATAATTGGTCATTCCGCCAAGGGATTGTTCAGCCCATATAGCAGATGTTTCTTCACAGTGACTGCTCCCCAAACATCATACTGAAAGCATGACGGTCAGAATTCGGGTGTCTGCATTATGGAGCCTGATGCAGCTAATTGTCAAGGTGTACTTCAGTTGAGAAGTCAACCATTCCCGAGCACCTCATCAAATAGCAGCAATTAGCCACAGCCAGGTACACCAACCTTACATGAATATCAGCAAAATACTGGCCAGCAGGAAGCCATACAAGGAGTAAAAATAAATAGCTTAGACAAAGAGTTTATGCCTTGTTTGTTAAACTATGGCAGGCAACCTTAGCTGTTCATCACTGCAAAGCCTTGCAACCTCTGGATTCCTTCCCTAGATGCAAAAACTAAATGGTGATGATGATGATGATGATATATATAAAAACAGGAAAATTGCACTCCTACAAACCTCAAGGAATAGTGATGGTCTTCGTGAGGGAAGACATGTATCTTTGTTTTACTGAAAAGTGATTTTTGTTTCTATTACTAGAAATAAAATCTGGTCATTTCTAGTTTTTTAAAAATTGGCAAATTCCTACTTTTTTTAAAGGTTACCAGCCACTGTACTTTTTTGAAGGTACAGCCCATGGTGAGTTTGGAGAAGCAAAACTGGCCATCAGATCCATAAAACAGAGATGTATTTTATAAGAATGTTCACCTATCTTAAAAATAGTAGCATGACATTTTTTGATTTTGTGAAGTATTTAGACGTTGTAAAATGCAAGACGCAAATGGACCATGAAGAACTAGATTTAACAGGAGCATGAATGCCAGTAAACTATTCCATGTATTACAGACTATTTAATATGAAACTGAGGTACATTCTGTCAAGGAAAGACACAACTTTAAAATTGAGCAGAGATCCTGCCTCTTCCTGTAAAAACACTGAAGGTTATATATTATGTTATGTATTCTTTTAAGCAATAAAAGTGATACAACTTCTTGAGTTGAGGCCATTAATACAAAAGTTCTTAGGCAGTGGAGAAAGGCAGAAAGATGAGGTTTCCAGTTTGGACTGGGAAAATCAGGACAAGAACAGGCAGGGCAGGAAAACCACAGTACTTTGAGTGGCTCCTTGACATCAGCGGAGGCAACATGCACATAGAGTAACGGAGAACAAGAACAAGGAAAAGGACAAGACAGAGCAAATACGTGGCACTAGAACAAATTATTTGCAGAGATAATTTACCCAAGTTCTCCAGGTCTTTTCTTGTTACAAACTTATAGTCATCATACACTGTTGTCTCTGGGTTCTCCTCCAGCTCTTCTGTCAAATTATCAAGAAATGAGCACCATTTTGGAGCAGGACCTAAAACCTGGAGAAGTATTCAGTTCAGACATAGGATCAAATCACCATTTCTATAAAAACCCAATGACGTTACTGAAAATAAAATGGTACACTGCGGTTTCACTGATATGTTTACAGAATTCCCTAGTGCAACCAAAATATATGATATCATGGAAGGGTAATAAATTAAAATGTTAATTTTTACTAGGATTCACTGCTTAAATACAGTTTTTATTTCACCCTGAGTTTCCTGAAAGTATGAATAAAAGAAAAATTTTAAATAGTAGGCAACTTCTTAACTGCTTTATCAACAGACTTGCGGTGTTAAATGAGCGTTTTCACAACAGCGATCTTAAAGTCCATCCTTGGTACACTAAAAATACAATGTGGCGCAGTGGTTAAACTGCTGTACTGCAGCCAAAACTGTGCTCACGACCTGGGGCTCAATCCCAGGTAGCTGGCTCAAGGTTGACTCAGCCTTCTATCCTTCCGAGGTCGGTAAAATGAGTACCCAGCTCGCTTGGGGGGGGGCAATGTGTAGCCTGCATAATTAACTTGTAAACCGCCCAGAGAGTGCTTGAAGCACTATGGGGTGGTATATAAGCAGCACGCTTTGCTTTTTGCATTGCTTTACTTCAATCAGAATTTGCCCTTAATATCATTTGTTGTTACACTTCTATTCTGCCTGTCTTCCAGAGAGATTTAGATGGCCTATATGGGTCTCCTCTTCCACATTATTTTTTCTCACAATTATCCTGTGAAGTACGTTTAGACAGAGAGGGTGTGACCGTTCCAAAGTCAGCCAGAGAACTTCAAGATTTCCCAGGTTCTAAATGAGCAAACTGTAACTGCACATAAGCTCTTGATATAGCATGATGCATACAGGCTGAAATCCTGCTGCACAGTTATGCAAACTGTAACTTCTATATGCAAATTGCCATAAATTAAGATATTTCCATAGGCATTATCCATTAGATGCTGAGTCACAGACCTCAGTACGGCATATAAAAATAATATCTACACAGAGATTTCTTAACTTACAGCAATTCAATATCTACACTGAGATTTCTTAACTTACAGCAATTCATATCTAAAATTTCTGCTATTTGCATAACTGTGCAACAGGATTTCAACCATGGCACACTACTTATTTCTATCCTTATACAATAACATACACTCTCAAATTAAACACAAGCATAGGGAGAGAGGTGACACTGAATACCATGACAAGCTGCTCCATTATTCAAGACTATGTGGAAATATGAAATGGTTATACAAACGTAAGTTATGATCTCAAAGGTCATGCTGATAACACCGCACCCCATTTCCTCCAAAGATTAGACCCGCTAAACCCTGTCCCCTGCTGATACCAATCTCTTGTTCTCTTTTATGAGCACGTAATGAACCCAAATTAATTTCATATTGCATGTGATGCATCAGGAAAATCATCAAAAGCCCTCTCTGCAGGAGGAAGGAAAAGAGAAATAATGGCAAGCTTGGAATATGCACTATCCTGGCAAAATGGAACATTAGATGGCCTACTTCTGTTTCAGTTGCATCAATGATGATAACTGAAGTGGAAACAAACAAGAAATTTCCAAAGATAATGACTGCTTTCCAAATATTGGACACTCTCTAATTTACTCTTTATTAGAATGTGGGGAGTATTTAAAAACACCTGTACAAAGAGGTCCATGTTTTTAATTTGCTGAAAGAAAGCATGGTTAATCATGGTTGCTGTTTTTTAAACTGCAGCTGAAGAGGTTTCTGGATACTGCATACTGCACCACTTTTCCTAATTTAATTCGGTCATGGTTTTATTACTCTCCACAGTTTTTCTATTGGTCTAGCATTCTGTACTTTTTAATGCCAATAAAGGTTTTTATGTATGTAATGTAATACTGCATACTAGCTGTTTTTAGTTATTGCATTTTTCCACTATGTAATACTGCATACCAGCTGTTTTTAGTTATTGCATTTTTCCACTCCAATGTCCCCCCCAAAATTCCCTTATGATCATTATATGTAATTTGTCTTGCCGAGGTCGGGGCGGCTTTCGGCTTCCAAAGCTGCACCCACGGGAACAGGAGGCAGAGGACAGTGGGGACAGGAGGCGGAGGGCAGTGGAGGAGGCTTTGGAAGCTCAGGAAGCTGAAAGCCGCCCCGACCTCCGCCTTGGGTGCCCGCTTCCTGGGCTTCCAAAGCCACCCCGACTGCCGCACCGGGTGCCAGCTTCCCGGGCTTCCAAATCCGACAGGAGGCGGAGGGCAGTGGGGGCGGCTTTGGAAGCTCAGGAAGCCGAAAGCTGCCCTGACCTCCGCCTTGGGTGCCCACTTCTTGGGCTTCCAAAGCCACCCTGACTGCCGCACCAGGTGCCAGCTTCCCGGGCTTCCAAATCCCAGCACTGGCACGGCGGTCACGGCGGTGTTGGAAGCCCAGGAGGCTGAGCCTCCCTTTTCCTAACTGTTGGGATGAAGAAGCAGCCTCTTTGCCACCAGTGGTTTGAATTTCCCGCCTCTTCCTCCCCTGCCTTTTTCTGTTCATAACTGGAAGCTCCGGCCGCAAGCCGAAGCAAAATTTTGCGGCCGGAGCTTTTCGTAACTCGAAATTTTCATAAGCAGGGACGTTCGTAAGTCGAGCCTCCACTGTATGTCTATGGAGTCAGATATGACTAAGACCATGGCTTTGATTGTGTAGATCATGAGAAACTATGGGTTGTTCTGACAGAAATGACCTGCCTCAACCCTTGATGGTTCTGTATTGCAGACAAGAAGTTACTGTTAGGACAGAACATGAAGAGACAGAACGGTTTCCTGTAGGCAAACATGACAGACAAAGG